TGACTACCAGCTCCAGAAAGCAGAAGTATCTTTATTGGGGGTAGTTAGATACTTCCTGTTTTATAAACGTCATTGTCTTCCTGGTTAGTGCTTCAAAGACTTGTCAGATATCTCTGGGCAACCAAAACTCTGAGCCAATGGGGATGTATTTTTCATGAGTTCCAGTGTTTTCCTGACACATATTTAACAAAACAGACAGCTCAAAGGAGTTCTGAATTTGCCATGCAGACATAACCAAGTCTAAAACAAGGAGTGAAATAGTTGTCAAAAATTTGTACAGCAAGTGTCTGAGCACTGATTTTATTGACCAGATAAATATGGTTATACATAAACAAATTTAGTCTATTAGTTACTGCAGATATCCAATACAGTAATTCAATTGAGGGGCAATACACAACAATGTGGGATGGAGACAACAAAATAAATGGGTCAAGTCTTTATTGTGATCAAGACTTAAATACCCAAATATTCAGTGTTGGAAAATATGTGTTGGCTGTTATTTTGCTATAGATAGTTCAGCATGAAGAAGTACAGTCTTACTACATTTCTTACATAAATTTCCTTCCTTATTTATGTAACTTTACATGCAGAAGAGCTGTAAAAATGATAAATAATCTAAACACAAAATCAAAAAAGTTGAGATAAAAAGGGACAATTTTTTCTGTCACAGCTAAACACTGTTATCAAATGGATGTTAAGAAATAACTGATACCAGTATGTAAGTAGTTGAATGCATTTTTACTAGGAAGCCTGTCTTCTGCATGGACATATAGAGCTGCAATAGTTTAAGTAGTAGTTGAATGCATTTTTACTAGGAAGCCTGTCTTCTGCATGGACATATAGAGCTGCAATAGTTTAAGTAATGCTACCTTTCCAGCATTATTATCTAATCCAATATAAGCATTTTGAAGACATAAGAATGAGGAGTTTTTAATCTCTCAATTTATTCCTGATTTCATGAGATTTAAGCTTCAACATGGGATCTGTGTGAATTCCCTGGACCCTAGGATGATGTAGACTATTAGATCTTGGCACATCCTGTATGTTTTTAACTCAAAAATCTAGAGGACTCCAAGTTCTGTTTCCATGATTTGAAATTTCTTATCCATCTTCAGCCTTCTGTCTGCATGTCCTTGTGGTGGCAATTTGCTTTCTCTTTTTCTCTATTCCCCTTTCTACTCTTTAAATCACAAGAAATACTCCTCTTTCTTAAAATACAAATAATTAAATAGCAGCCTAAAATTAAGATCTTCAATGGAAAATAAAGAGAAAAGTAACATAACAAATCTGGTGTTTTACAAAATTTACCTTAAAATAATGACTAAACTTACCGATCTCTGTAATTGTCCAAAGAAGTCAGTTGGAAACATACATATGAAGCCTTAACACATTTTGCATGACCTTGAGTTAATTTTTACCTACCTGCTTTCAGTTAATTATGTTGCACATGAGACTCCTCCTGGCACTTTGTCAACATCTGGATGCCCTTATTATGTATTTCACCCCAAAGTCTGCACATTCTTTTGGACTAAGTGATTATTTCCCTGGAGAAGTTCCTACTCAGATGAATTTTTCATAATTTCTGTCATTACTTTGTCCTTTCTCACTACAAGAAGCATTTTGTTTTAATATTACAAAAATATAAGAGGAATATTAATTATCATTAAATGTCTACTGGTAGTGCCTAAAAAATATAATCTGTCAAAGAAATAAAAGCTACAGCTTTCTGTGTTAAGAAAGATCGGTAGATAACAACACTGAACAACATATTCCTGGGTCTGTATTGCTTTTTTTCTCCTCAGACTTGAATTCATTCCTGTGGACTATTCTACCATTTCAACTTATAGAGAACTGAACCTTCCTCTGGCTTAATTTTAACCTTTATTTCAGTGCAAAGCAAATTTTGCTTCCTTCTGCAATCAGAATGCCATTTCCAAATCAAACTCTGACTTGTATGAGCACAGTCATATTTGAAAATATGCACAAGTTACTTTGAACATGGGGACAGAAATGCTAAAATGAAAATAATGCTAAAAATGAAGTGTAATCTGGCTACTATTTCTCCATAGAAAATAGCATTTGAATTATTCCCATTCACTGCCATTTGAGACATGACTTTTTAGAAGTTTGAGTGGGATATGCCAGTTTCCCTGATTGTTTAAATGTTCCAAATTCTGATATATTTTAAGAAGTCATTTTGTAGGAAAAAACATCCTTAGTGAGCATATTTCCTTAGACTCCACGAGAAAATTCCTTTGGAGCATGTTGCAGATAGAAGCATCCAGCAAAACTGGAGCTACAATGTCCATTTGTTCTCAATAGGTTGTCTTTATTCTTTGTCATACATGATTGTGGAAGCCACTGTGTAAATCAAAGAGTTGATTAAGTACAGAGATTTCCAGGAGAAAAACCTAGTTTCCAACCAGTGCTGATGTTTACACTTCATGCAATGCACCTGAAATATTTAAACAAATGTAAAGGAAAGGGAGAAAACCCAAACATCTCACTCTAAGTGCCTGGAAAAGCACTGTGGCTCGTACGTAATTTCAACTGGTAAGAGTTGATGTATTAGGTTAGTAAACAGTTAAATTTAGACAACAAAAAAAGGGGGGTTTTAAATGCATATGTTTGTCCAGATGTTTTTAAGCCATTTCTTTCAATGTATTAAATAATGCTCAAATATCCACTGAAGTCAAACTTCCACAGAACTAAATCAGTGCAGCCTGTTTGTAGATACAAAACGATCCTGCTAAACTGAGCTGTGGCTTGTCACTTGTGACAGCTGTGATGCATCTGCAACAGGAAAAAAATAGTAGCTACACTCACCACAAAGGCAGCCAAGCTCTCATGGGCCAGCTGGCCATTTCCCAAACTGTTGGGATGTTTGTAGTCCTTTGCAATAACAACAGCATTCACTCCCTTTGTATTCCTCTTAACGACAGGAAAGTTACCCTTCATCATTACTGGAAAAATGATGCTGCTTCTAAACAAATGTTAGTGTTTCTAGAGTAATACATTGTCTGGTCTTCTCTTTTCTACCTCAGATTATAGTTACACAGATTCTTATATTGAATCCTTTCATAATATGGCTTTCCCTATTAGAGTTCCTGTAGCAACTATATGAATGTTACATTATTGGAGAGGAAGGAAGAAGCTGTTTGCTTTGCACATATGCAAAATGGTGGACCTTTCTCTTGTAAATTGTGGTGAATATTGAAAAACAGTTTGACAGCAGCTGGTCCTGCTATTGTGATAGACTAATGAGAATATTTGACTTAAGTTCCTGCCAATTAAATTCCCAAAAGCTGACTATCACCTGAAAGAAATATTTTCTTATACCTGTTCTAAATACCAGTAGTGAAATAAGAAACTCTAGTCTTAAATGAGTTTTTGAATTTTAAAAGACATTATTTTCTGACTTAGCAGCATAAAGACAAGTTTTTTTTGGAGATGCTTATTAATAAATTGGGTTTTTTTAAAAGCAGGATTGAGCTGTACCATAAAACTACCCCTTTCATTAAATTATCTGCTCATATCAAAAGTCTTCACTCTAGTCAAATTTGGCACTTTCCTTCTTACTGATATACAGTTGCAGATTGGATTTTGCTGAGTAGAAGAGACACAAGAGACGAGAACAGAGAATTAGCTAACTTCCCAATATAACTTTTTGTAGGGAAGATAAATAGTCCATGGATTCAAATTAATGTACAAGTGCAATTGCATTTTAATAAAATAGCAAAATGCATGTGAAATGTTCAAACCTTGTGTGCATCACAGTGGCTGCACACAATACATGAGAGCAATAAAACATCACAAAGAACAGCATAGGCTAGACAAGATAGCTTTCACTTGAATTTAATGAGGCAGTAGTCATGAGAGACAAATTAAATCACTTACTAAAATGATCCATTCTGAAAAGAGTATTAATGCCGCAATGAGTCTCTGAGTTGCAGCTAACTGAGATGATACAGCATGCTCCACTGTTTGATTCCAGAAATGGTAGAAAAAGGCTAAAGCCACTTTATACTGTCAAATGTATACCAATGGCAGAGGGTAATTACTTTTATACATAGGTACCCTGTTAACTCTCAAGTGGTACAGTGTTTCATTCATAGCAAGAACAAGACTGAGGCATTGAAAAGTTACAGATCCAGAACTAAATACTCCTGTAAGTAAGTTCATTCACCTAAACAAGGACTGTTGGTGTTGAGAGCAGGAACTCTATCAGTATAATACTAGACAAATATATTCAAATTACTCCATAATAATGAATTGAGTGAGAATCCTAATCAAAACAGGGCTAATATTTCCTTTCTTAAGGATAATATTGCATCACTAACCATGATTTTGTATTCAAAATTATTTCATGCTGGCGCAAAATCTTTGGAGGGGGAGAAATTTTACAAGTATCCATTTTATGGTCTTATCCATACTCTGTGGGGTGTGCATATAAAGATATCTGCCAATCAGTTTGTAGGAACTGTTGAAGCAATCCTGTGCCACCTCTGCCACTTATTCCTCTTCCCCTTGTTGTATGACTATTAGTAATTAATTACAGCCTACTGTCATAAATCTGCTTTTCCCTCTGCTCTAATCTTTCAGCATGAACTTCTGATTTGACATGGATTAAGCAGTTCAAATGCCACCCTACAGGAATCCTAAAAAGGCAAAGCAGGGCTGCTCACTACAGACTGTGACACCACTGGAGACCGGGGATTACACAGATCACCGTGGATCCACCATCTGGTATCACTTGTCCTTTCTCCATTCAGATGACGTGATGAGGGAACTCCTTGCTCCTGCACTAAGGTCTACAGCTTGCATCAAGCAGGAGCCCTGCTAGGGTTTGTCATCTAACTGGCACAGAAGCTCTCCCAAGGTCATATAATGGCTGGAGAGGATTTAGGATCACTTATTCCAGTCCTGTTGTTGTTAGCCGTCTTACACACCACTGGGAGAGAACTATCACCCCTCAAATCTAGCCAAGTGGCCAGATGATATGTAATTGAATAAGACAATAAATGTGAATACCAGATGATTTGGGGCAGCTAGGCAGGAGTCATGGGAGTAGCTGCTATATAAATCTTACAGTTCCAAGTCTTAAGACAAATCTTGAAAATTTCCATTTTCATAATGGTAAGAAGTCTGTTCCTCCATGTCTTGAGTTACTTGCTTTTGCTTCCTCCATTCCCTTCTCTGTACTTCACTATTTTGACTGGTAGCACCATACGTTTTCTTTGGACTTACAAAAGTTTCATTGTTCATCTCTGTTTCCTCAGCCAGTTCATCCTGATCAATTATGCCACATTTCTCTTCACTGAGGTTTTCGGGGTCAGCCCATTCCTGCTTCTCCCCAGAAGCAAAGATAGCGTAGAATATCACACCACTGTAATGCACCAGGGCTGCAATCAGAAAGACGTTCTGCCATTCTTCACGGGTCTGAAAGAAAGGTGCAGGTCTCATTAAGTTTCCAGTAACAAGAAATATCGCTTTCCAAATTACACCATGAATTAGCACATAACGAGGAATGACTGTGATCACTGATTCCTGATGCTGAAGACAAAATAACTTATGAAAACCATTGCAAAGTTTTTTTTAAAAATATATACCAACACTAAATACAATAAAACTTAGGTTTCTTTGTTGTTTTTTTTCTCACAGTAAAGTTTCACTCTTGCATGTGAAGTATTTATGGAGTTGGAAATGCAGGGATTTCTCTAACAACTACATGAATATTATTGTAGATCAATGTTTGCTTATAAACTCTACCATGGGGGTATGGATGCATTACAATGAAATTTTTCAAGCCCTATAAGCATTGCACAGTTGTTTGGAGATACTGCAGAGACTCAGGCTCAGGTGGTATTAAATAATATCTAGCCTACACAGATAATTAGTTATAATAGCTGAGAATTAGGCCAAGGTGGTATTTAAAAAGTGAATGCTTAAGACAAACAAAAAAGCAGCTGCAGAGACCAGTGATGGAATGGCATTCCCAGGAATCTTTGAAATGTCTTAAATTTGTTGCATTACCTAACCCTTTTCCTAGAAAACATGGAGAAATGTTACCTTATGTTTTGTCATTGCACCAACAATGAGTGGGCACACCATTCCCGATAGTGTCCCCACGCCGTTGGAGATCCCCATCAGAATGCTGGCATAACGAGGGGCTATGTCCAGGTGATTCACATTGAAGCCTACATAAAATGAGAGAAACAGACAGCTGAACAGCTTTGCACTACCAGGCCAACAGGGCTTCCTACAGCCATTCTGGCTGAAGAAGACTGAAAAGGTTAGCAACCTCCCTACTGCACCTCTGAGGAGTATGTTGTATAGAAAATAAAGTTTAGTTTGGCTTTGTTTGAAGCGTCTGTACTTTCCATTTTCTCATACTGGAACAGCGAGCTTGCAAATATTGTTAATTAAGGAATCAATGCCTCAGATTAGTGAAATGTCTTCTATCTTTTTATTTTATATGTAGTATTCTTCTTAATTAAATTCTTTCTGTGTTTTAACCACATGAATGGTTTAACAGCAGTTTAAAAACATGATAAAAAAATACAATATAAACCAATAAGAAAAACAATTATCCTTACTGTAGTGTGTCTTCTGAGCACTTATTTTATTAAATAAAAACAAATACTAAATATCAGCTCAGATAATTATAATTCCTGAGGTAATGAAAATTGGTCATATTAACTATGGTTGATGACAAGAAGTGACAATTAATTCCAAGTGTATGGTAATAAACAGGGTAAGGAATAGACTCCTGGGAAAATCCTGTAATAAAAGTTCATCAATAGAAATGGCCAGCTATGCAAGGACCTCGTAACTGAGCAGCAAAACCACTTCCCATCTGCAGAAACCTGAAATAACTAAAGACCAGCTGTTATTTTGCTGGTCAATTTTGTTCAATAGATCCATGTTCTTGGCCATCTTCTTGGAAGGTCTTCAATCTTAAGAAAATCTTTAATCTTCATAGCAAAGGAGTTTTTTTCAGTGATGCTGGTACTGATGGTGCCACAAAGCAGCTTGAGACTAGAAAACGTGGCTGAGACTCATAAAATGTTAGAAACAACTTCTGGAGAAGGGCTGGATGTACGATGCAACAGAGGGAGGGCTGACAAAGAAAGCAGAAATTGGGTGCTAGGGCTGGGGACAGGATTGCAACTGACAGCCTTTGTGCAACTATTCACTGCAGAGTAATCTCTCCCTCTCTGTCTTTCCTTTTAGGCATACAGTTAAATAGGATGAAAAGGTGACGGACAGTGTAAAATTATATTAGGAAAAAAACAGCATAAAGCTGATGCAAATTGGAATCAATAAAGAGCAAATTCTTTTCAAAGCTTCAGGTATTGTGTGCAACATGTTTCATAGATACCGAAGTAAATTAGTTATGATATAGGAAGAAATAATGAACACCCCATAAGTTGCCACATTAAGAGCAAACAAAATATTATAAATTATGACAGTAAAAACAGTGAGGGTAATAACATCAGTTTTATCAGGAATAAAAGCAAGAATAAGATTAATTCTTACCTGAAATTGCAAAGCCGCTGAAGCCTACTGCTAACACCAGAAAGGAAATAGCCACACCTTTTGTGTGAGAATAACCAACCACCAAAAGTAAGGTTGCTTCCATCCCAAAGCCTTCCAATGAAACACATGAGAATGAATTATATTTAAATTCCTAGTTGCCATGAAAATACTAATAAGCACTATCCAGAGTAGCAGCTTAAAATGAGAGAAAATTATTTTTTATCTTTTAGCTATTCTTGAACACACTTGGGAGCTTTGTGCATTTGCAGAAATATTTGTATATTTATTGTTTGAGAATATATTCTTTATTTCTCCTCATTCACTGCTGTATACATGACCCAAACAGCTGGTGAAGTTAATTCACTGTATTCACTGAGCAATACAGGAAGACAATTGAAAAAGTGAGTATGTGCAAAGGGCAGAAAAATTCACAAACCCACAAACATTTGAGTGAAAGAAGAAAAACACTTGCCTTTAATTTCTTGTGGTTGTAGTGGCACAAGATGGTATTGGTAAATGGAACAAAATAGTGTTTTACATACAACTGTGTGACCAACACAACAGGACATCCCTGAGCATCACAGGGATCTTCCAGACTCTGCCATTACTGGAAATTAGTATTTTCTAATATGCAAGATTACAATCCTTCTGTTTTGTTTTGTTTTAATGACACTATTAATATGCCCTGAAAATAAAATTAATTTAACCATCCTTTCTAAAGATGCATAGCCAAGTTATGTGGTATCACTGGCTGCAGGCATCTCTATTTCTAGGATCCTATGCCATCTATAAATAATGCAAGCCAGCAATTGGCAGTGGGCAACTAATGACTCTACAGACTGCCTGGCTTGAAATATTTTCTTTAATTCAATATCAACCCTATATGTCACAGATTTTTCAGTTCAGTGACTGAATACGAAACAAATTATTTTGTGCTGAGTTAATATTTTCCTGTTCATCCTTCACTTTTTACCCCCACCCTAAACATTTCAGCCTTAACTTGTCAGTGGGCTCTGCTGGGAGTATCAAATGGGAACATGGCCAGTTACTTCAAGAATGTACCCACTGGGAAAGGGTGTCTCCAGCACCTTGGTACAGGGATAATTTTGTCTGTATGAGTTTGCATGATTAAGTCTATTTGATCATACTGTGCCCATTCAATCATTAACCAGATTTCTCGTCTCCTCCTTTTTTTAAAGCATGCTCATATGAGTAAGGATTTATGTCATGAGGCATCAGCTCTCCACTTAATGCTTCAGATTAACCAGCTGTAAACACAATGTTGAATAAATTATCTCTTGTCACAATTAGACATGGATGAAACTATGATACTTGCATTGATTGCAGCACACAATTGAAATGTCATATTTTCAGAATCCAATAGTACCTCCACAGTTCATGACCTTCCTTACAGTGGTAGTAGTTAAGATCTTCCTGCTCCGTAAGAAGTCAGCTAGTTGCCCTCCGATGGGCACAATGATTGTCATGACCATGTGAGGAACTGCTGACAAAAGGCCAACCTGCAGTTAGAAAAATGTGAGCTTTACTGTCATTTCTCCTTCTAGATTTAGGGGCAAGAGAACAGGAACTATAATGTTTCTTCACCTCTTTTCCCCTGAATCACTTTATCTGATTACAGCAGATGCTCAAAACTGGGTGAGCAAAGATCTTGTGGCCCAGGAAGAGAAATCAGAGCACAAGTGAGAATCTCACCTTAGAAATGTCATGCAATATCCAGTTCATATTAAATTCTATCATAGACATCACAAAGCCCTGTCATATGTGTCCTGATACCGGAGTCCTCTATCTTGGTTTTCAAGTGCGTTTATATATTTTTATTATTCATGTTCTCAAGGACCTCCTTCCTGAACAAGAAATCAATCCCTGTTACCTGCCTCTGTGTAAAGGAAGGAAGCACCTGCACATTGCATAGGGACTGAAGACCATACAGCATAAAACCTGACATAATGAAATAATTTTACAAATAACTAAATAATCATATATGTAAAAACGTGGATTTATATTTATTCTTGTGGGATAACAGACTACAAATTAATGTTCATCCGCTTTTCATTTTCACAGAATCCAAGAATCCCACAATGGTTGATGTTGGAAGGAGTCTCCTTCTGCTCAAGCTGGACTGCCTAGAGGATATTGCCCAGAAATGCGTCCAGACAGCTTCTGAGTATCTGCAGGAGATTCCACATCCATTCTGGGGAACCTTTTGCAGAGTGCAGTCATCCTCTTAGTAAAAAAGTTTTTCCTCATGTTCAGAAGGAACCTCCCATGTTCCAGTTTGTGCCCTACTGAGCACAAAGGTCAGCTCAGAGCACTACTGAAAAGACCCTATTTTTGTCTTCTTTACACTCTCCCTCCAGATATTTGTACATATGGATGAGAACCCTGCTGAGCCTTCTTTTCTCCAGGCTAAACAGTCCAAGCTCTCTCAGCCTTTTCTCATAGGAGAAATATTTCCACTTCTTCATGGCACTTCATTGGACCCTCTCCAGTACGTGCATGTCTCTCTTATACTGTGGAGCCTGGAACTGGACACAGTACTTCAGGCATGCCCTCACCAGTGCTGCATAGAGGGGAAAGATCACTTCCTTCTCCCTGGAGGCCTTTGCATGGTGCAGCCCAGGATACCATTATTCTTTACTGCAAGGACACACTGCTGGCTCATGTCCAGCCTGGTGTTCAGCAGGACTCCCAGGTCCTTTTCTGCTAAGCTGCTTTCCAGCCAGGCAGATCCCAGCATGTACTGGTGCATGGGCTTGTTCCTCCCCAGGTGCAGGACTTTACACTTTCCCTTACTGGGCTCCATGAGGCTTCTGTCAGCCTCCTTCACCAGCCTGCCGTGGCTCCTCTGTACAGCAGCACAACCCTGCAGTGAGGCAGCCACTGCCTCTACTTTTGTGTCATCTGCAAACTTGCCGAGGGCACACACTGCTGCCCTCATTAATGAAGACGTCAAATAGGATCAGACTCAGTACAACCCCTGTGACAGTTTTAGCGATCAGCATGTCATCTTCTAGAAGCTTTTCTTTGAAGCAGTAGTTTAGTGAGAAGTTTGTGTTTACTTTCAGAGGTGTGCAACCTTGTTACATTGACAGTTGGCTTTACACTGGTTTTAAAATAATGAGGTTCACAGAGATGCAACTCTAGCATTAATGTAAAGCAGCTCAGAATAAATAGATGTACTTTTTCTTAATATCCCTCTTCTTCACCTCCATGTTGTACTTGGCTAGTTAGACTGTCATTGCTACCATGCCACAACCATTGCTTCTCTTACAGAACCTGGGCACACAGGGCTCCCAGAACAGATAAATATCTTGTTATCAGCCTTAGGCTTGCTTGAAAATAATTACCACATAGTATGTATGTATGCTAAATGAAAGACTTTTAAAACTTCTCTAAAACAATTATTATGTATTCCTCATTCATGCTTTGAAGAGGAAGTGTAACAATTCTGATTTTAATGAAATGGGGGTGACATGGAATACAAACCTATAAAGAATTTGATCTTCATTGCTAATTAAAAGTCACAAAAATCAAGAAGAGGATAAAAATTACCTGGTTAAATTCTGAACAGTCAACATTAAACAAAATGTACATTTCTATTTACTTACTTAGAGGTTTTTCATTATATATGAGGACTCTTAATCAATTATTTCCCAAAATAACTTCTCAAATCTTTCATTTTTCTAGAAATTTGATGCTCACATACTTTTACTTCTATCAGGTCAGCAGAAATATGTAATCCCAAATACTGGGAATAATCTACTGTAATGACTCCAGGATTATCTATTCTCCTCAAATAACTAAACCACAGCACTAAGTGTCATGCCCAGTTATTTCTTTAACATCTCCAGGTATGATGTTCACCTTCTTTCTGGGCAGACCATTTGAATATTTAACCACCCTTTCAGTGAAGAAATTCTTCCTGATGTTCAACCTGAACCTCCCCTGCTGTATCTCCTAGGTCACTGCTTATTCTCAGACATTTACCTTGCTTATTGCAAATCCAAAGACTTCTTCAAAGTAAGCAGGCTGACTTATAAGGAGCAAATAGAAAGTCCAGCTTCTGCAGAAGTTTGCCACAATGATTGCATAAACTGGCATTGAAGTGAAAAATCTCCTCCAGGGAGTACTAAATTTCTAGGGGAAAACCACACAAAATTGGGTAGATAGAGGCAAAACAAAGAACCAGTATATTTAATTATCAAGCCTATTAGGTACATTGCATACAACTTACATCACAGATCACTTAAAATGCAAGTGAAATACTGGCAAAAAAGAGGTAGAGAAATTTTCTTAGAACAGTTAGTATTCTTAAGGTGGATACTGCACTAATATTGCCCTGCTCACTGAAATTACATGAGGTCTTCTGGAATCCTGCTATTGGGATAACAAGATTAGTTAAAGAATCAGAAAAAAATGGAGAAAACCTTGTCCCATTCCTTGCTTTTTGGCATGATGCAGTTTGAGACATTCTGCTGAAAGGAGTGGGAAAAAAGGGGTGTCCAAGCGAAGACACATGCAGTAGTGCAGCAACAAGCCTGCTTCAACCTAATTAGTTTAATTCAGAAAAAAAAGGCCTGTGGTACAGAATTGAATTTCTGTAACTTGCCTTTTTGGCATTTTCAATTAGAATTGTGCTCCAATACTCCATACAGCAGGAAACATACTTCAGAGACCTATTGATTTTTAATAGAATTCTAATCAGAAGCTGAAATCTGTAGCTATGGCAATACGCATTGATATTCTCCTTTCTTTAAAAAAAAAAATGTTAATTGTGCTCTATGGTGCACCATACATTTGCGGCTGTGCATGCACCCATGAAGTTGGTGTCAGCTTCCTCTGCAGTAAAACCAACTTACTGCAAGGAAAATCCATGACCTGGAACAAGTGTGTTTGTGTCTCCAGCCAAGACTTGATCAGCCAAATTTCAGATGCATGCCCAAAAAGATAGACTGGTATTTTACACTCCTAGCACAGCTGTTATCCAAAACATACAGAGGAAAAAAATTGAGTTACTTTGTTCCAGAATGTTCAAAATGGAAAGCTAAGAATGAACAAGAAACACCTTTGTTTTTCACTACTGTCAAAAAAAGTTGTCTAAGGGAATGGAGGGAAGTTTGATGGCAAAATAGGTTTTAACTCAAAGTTTCCGAGGTCTTCTCAGAGAGAGGATGAGGAGCCTCAAAGAACCTGAGCTGCTGTGAGAGTGAGTAGGGCAGAAACCCAGTCCCTAAGCTATTAGATTTGCAGTCATCCTTAATAGGAGTTCAAAAGGCAGCTGGATAATTCAGTATCTGCAGTCAGATTCTTATTTAGCTAAATCCATTAATATTTTTTAGAACAAAAATGTGGTTCCCCCTCCCAACCCATCTCTTCCCTCCCTAGGTCAGAGAAGCACCATAAACCAGGAGCTTAAACAGCAGTATGTTTTCCTGTGCTCAGCTGGTCCAGCTGCAAGAGCCTGATTCTGTAATTTTCTTGAAAGGAAAAGCCCATTTCTGCTAACAGTATCCATCCAGTCATATGCTCATCTGCAAAGTGCTTACAAATGAAAATAAGGAAAGCCTTTTTTTTACTTACACTTGCATTAGCTAGGCTGGCTCCTTCTCCTATACTTGTTTCTATATATATCTTTTCTTCATTGGTTATTGTTGGATGCGCAGCAGGGCTCTCATAGGCATGAAGCAGCCAAAACACATACCAAACAATCCCAAACATTCCTGAAGAGGCAGGAAAAGCAACTTGTTTTCAAAGTCAATAAAGGTACACTTCAATATCTGCAAGCCTTGATTTTTTGTTTCAAGTGCCAGTTAAACAAAATCTGCAAAGAAATTATGCCCAGGGAAGTAACAAAATATGGCAACTAACTGTGTATATTGTATGCCTGCTTGCAAAGCATTTGAGTGTTTTGTCACTTTTATTACGTTGTGCATGGGGCAAAGAAAAGGCAGGAATAAAACTCTCTGTAGAACCTAGGGGAAGAAAAAAAAACAAAAAAGGAGACAGGCCATAAAGTGGTGGCAATCTGTAATGAAGGGACTTCACTGTAAGATGGCAATGGCAAATCTTGTGCTGTGTCCTGTATTTCTAGGGAAGAGAGAGAAACCTACTTTAACTGGACTGCTGATGTGCAAAGCTGGTGCAGCCACCTCTGCCATACACTGTGAGGGGAAGAATGAGGCACCACAGATCAGCCACAAGGCCATACCTGTGGGACTACTTTGTAAAGTGGCACTGCTTTATTCAAGATGGACAGCATGGGAAAGATTTCTCAGGGCAGAAGTTTTCGGGTCCATTTGGCTCCTTGTCAGCAGCATTTGCTGTAACTTTTGCTGTTAGTGTGCACTCTGGGGCAGGTCCTACACAAGTGTTTGTACTGCAGAGGAACCTTTGCAACTGCATGCAATCCTGTCACTGGGTGACCATGGGCTGCAGCCTGGCCATTACAATTTTACAGCCTTTTGTAACAGATGATTATGAAATGAAAGCTCTCAGAATCTGTAATAAGTAAGGAATAAATTGGAGCACCCATTTGCAACCTCTTCATTCACCAAAACATTTGATCCATCCTTGTTAGACAGGTTTTAGTAAATGACTGGCAGTACTGATCTAGTGGCAGATGTCCTTCATGTTAAGCAACTCACCATAAATATAAAAGACTGATGACCATCCTATGTACTGTACCAGCACACCTGCCAGAGGCATGGCCACCACCGCACCTGCATAAGACCCTGAAGAGAAAATAGATCAGTAAAACATGTCAGCTGGGGTAGGTTTGCCCAGCTTTAGAACAGCTGATCCAGACAGGTGTTCAGGCGAGCAGAACAGGAGGGATGTGTTTGACTGACTTTTTATGAACTTGGAGAATGGGATGAAAGCTGCAAAGTTTTGTCTGGGGTGACAGAAAGCACTGACTTCTCATGCATCACCAGTCTTATTTTGCAAAGTTGTGCCCTGTATGGAAATAGGATTTGCAAATCCAAGACTGATGACAGATGACTACAGAGGCACATGCCATATGTGTGCTCTTGAGGGGGAAATCCTGCCTGGCATTGTGGTGTGTGAGGTGAGTTTTGGAGAAGATAATGGGCCAAGTTTCAGAAACTTCATGGAGGAATCCTGATATGTTGGGAGGCTTTTGTCATGGCCCTACACCCATGATCACACAAGAACTGGTAGCAGAGAGGGTGTTCAAACCAACCCTGAGTCTGTGTAACCATGCTTAATTCATATCAGCAACATAAACAGCTGGAATAAATAGCCAAATGTTGACAGGGGATAAAAGAGGATAAAAATTGTTCTGTGCCAAGGTTTCTGATTGGGAAATACATATTACCGGTAAAATATATTTCTAAGTGTCTCGTGGAAAAAGATGAGTATTTAAGTGCAATCTAGATAATAAGTTTCAGTGCAAGACAGTGCCAATGGCTTTACATGTTGCTCTGAATTATTCTAGGAAATGAGATACTTGTGGTTTTGAGTAGTACATGTTTTGTTAATAAACATTTTTTAATGCTCTACTCATTAGCAAATACTTCCCTGCAATGAAAAACTTTTCCCTCATCTTCATGTAATTCATTTTTCCTACAGCTTTCCTACAGAAAAGCCTTAGGCCAGAATGTAGATAAAAAACCCAGGAACTTACTTAACCTGGATTTTCCTAATTTTTCCATTGCTCCTATGCACCTTTCAAGTGTAAGTATCAGTGATCTGCAGCCACTAAAATTGGTGTCAAACTGAAGAATAGATCCTTCTCTAGAGATCCCATGCTAGGAATTTCAAGGAGGGAACACTGAGAGTGTAGAGGCTTTTCTTTGGGTCTTTTGTTTTGCAGGAAGTGAAAACACCTAAATAATTAAAACCTGAAGCCATAGGTAGTAAAACAAAATTCCCATAATATACAAACATGGGGCTTTTTCCACTTGCTTCACTCTTCCTTTTATTCTTTTCCTTGTTTTTTAGTGCTGTATTTTCCCCAGCCATACAACTCTACTGCTGATGGACAGAATTTTTTTCCTGTGACTTTTACATTTTCACTGAACATTTTCTCCTACAGACATTCATCTTCAGCTGTCAGCACTGGAAAGGAACACAGAGAAGAGAGCAAAGTATATGTCTGATCATAACTCAAAACAGAATGAAGCAGGACAGCTGCTGGCAAGAAGCTACATCATCTCCACTGCAGTATATTGAGCAACCAGCCTAAAGTACTGAAGTCTTTTTTGGATAATTTTAAAATGCGTACTTGTTTAGGAGCACCCATTGAGTATGCATAACAAATAGAATCCCTAAAGATGATGCAAATAAGAAATAAAATATAATTTCTCTCATATGAACCTCTAGACCCATTTTAGTTTATTATGAGAGCCATTTTGAGTGTTGGCTTTAAATGATAAAATGATGGCATATTAAACAAAAGAGGACTCACAAGCTCCTAAGCTTAGGGAACAAGGTGCAAGGGCAGAGGGTCTGTGCAGCTCCTTGAAATAATGAAATTAACAAAGTAAATCTAATAAGGATACATGCTTGCATAAACCATATAAACCCATCAACTCACCACAGAATGAAGTGGTAGCCAACCTGCTTCTCTCCAGTGGCGGGGCCCACTTACTCCACATCCCGTGGCAGGCTGGGTACGTGACACCCTGGCAGACATTTCACACATCACATGATTTGCTTTCACTGAATTCCCCTTGAAGTAGTTTCTGATGCTATTCCTATTGCCTAGGTGTTTGTCACCATGGAATGATATAGGAAGGGTAAGGTAAGTCTGGAAGAGCTCAATTGTTTGAGTATGAAGATGTCACACTAATCTGAATTACCTATTACCTGAATAGTAATATGTTCTGAGGTAAAAACACTGTTTAGTATATGCAGTTGATGGCACAAGAAAACTAAAATAACTCAAACTGCAGCACCAGAAACATACATTTTTCTTTAAGTAAACTTAGAAACATAAATCAGTATAATGAAGAATTATAAATTCAAAATGAGCAGCAAGTAAAACTGTATATTGATCAGAAACTCTGATAGAAAGAGGTCTTACCCTTTCTAGAACCAAATCTCAAAATCAAACCCAGTTTGAAAGGACCAAAATCATGTGTGCTCCTACCTCCACCAAACCTTGAAGAATTCTTACAAACATCACACAGCCATAATGCACTCTTGCTGCAGAAGGGATGATCATGTTCAGTGTAGATGTTAGAAAGATAGCTGCACCAAATACCCTATGGAGCAAAGTAGCATGAAATGGAATACAATTATTGTCTATGGTTCAGAAGTGTTTTTATATTCCACTTTGTAAATATTTATAAATTTATTTTAAAATACACTGTTACTATTATTTTTTTCTTTAAATAAGTATTTAAATTGTTTGCATTTCAGTCTCTGAAAACTTGTTCACAGGAAATATATGTGACTTCATTTTTTGTGTGTGGTCTTATTCACAGTAGGATTAATGGATGTGTTATAGCATGAAAAATTTACAATCAGAGAACAACACTGTTTTATCTAAATTCTCTACACCTCTTGACAAAAGCAACAATCCATGCCTAGAGAGCTTATTATCTGAGTCACAAGAAAGCACTAAACAGATGAGCACAAAAGCAAAGAAGCTGAGCAGGCTTCTATATAAATCAATTCCTTTGACACTTCTTTAAGTGACAAAGGAACTGATTTATATAGAAAACAGTCTGAAAATATGAATTAGAATACAAAGCCTACAGTCATATCTTGACATTTAGGAGACTGCTTTAAAAGCCAAGTAAACATCTAACTGAGAAATAAGTATTATCTCTCTGTTGTGATCCCTGAAGAAAAGACTTCTGCCTCTTGCTTTCTTACCACTAATAGAAGCATCAAGTCTGTTATCATAACACTATTGACACAGGGAACTACACCAAATCATGTGAATTAATAACCATGTGAAAGAAAAAACTGTAACAAAGAGAACATGTTTAATTATCCAAACAGCTATCGCTAAATACTGAGTTTAAAATCTCTGCTACTTCTTTTAATGCCAACTCTTAATATGCCTAGGTTGTAAATGAATTATTTATACTGAGTTAGAACCAGTCACTCTTCTGCTGCTATTTAAAGGGTTGAGCATTGTTTCCACAGAGACAGCATCTTTTCATCCATTCATTGCCATTTATCCCAAAGAAGTTTGTCTCCACTTTGACAAGAAATATTCCAGGGTTTTTAATTCATTCACGTATTCTTCTGTCCTCACTACCACAGTTCCTGGGCAGCTGCCACTTTTGGATCAAGACAGACTTCTTCAGCTACAGACTACTCTGCCCAGCAGGATGCTCTTACTGAAAACTGATATCAAGAGGTGCCTCATGTTTCATTCATCCACCAAGCAATTCTGAAATCACATTTGGATGCATGTTTGAGGATAAGCAGCAAGCTAAAGGGACGGTGTCAGTAAATGGTTAATTAACTTTTTGGTGGAATGCAGATCTACATCAATTTGGGTGAATGTATTGAGTAAATTACGTAGTGTTAGAGGGGTTTGGTGCAAACCCATAAAGCACTCAATATTTTCAGCTATTATGAGATCTATTTGAATCCCTCACTATTATAGATAATTATGTGCATTAGAGAAGTGCCTGGGATGGATCATCCATACGTATGTTCAAGGTTGCACAGTTTAAACAAGTGGCAAAGGAGTCTTTATGTAAATCTGTAAGGTCACTATTAGCATAGAATCTCATTTCCAGAATGGAGCTGGGAAAAAAGAAAGTTTTTCCTCTTTCTAGGGCTGGTAGGTTCATTGGCCACAGAACCCCTGCATTCCTGCCCTGTGTCTTAGCAAATAACCCCTTTGAAACTGAAACTTGGCACCGCTGGTGAACCTGCTTAAGCTGAAATTGGTTGGGTAAACAAGGAATAAAGGAAAAACATGGACTTAGTGAATCCTATTACTGCAAATAGAAATTCTCTTTGAGCTCAGCTCTTGAGTTATTTTTGTTCCTCAGCAAATTTTTCTCCTAAACCCAGTTATGATGGGCAAATCCATAATGTAATTTTGTAGTATAGTATTAGATTGAGTTGGAAACTCTCACAGGGATAAATGCAGAGCTTTCTGTACTTGTGCACAGCCTGTACTTAAGGAAACACTCTGCTGAGAGAACACATCAAGTTACAGTGTAAATGTGGTTATTTTACTGTTTGCAAGTAAATTAAGGAAACAAAAGCTAAATTAATAATATGCAGAATTATTCAGCCAACAGTGTGCACATCTGTGTTTTGGAGCCCTTCTGCTGCAAAAGCTGGTGGCAAGACTAGAAAGGTTGGAGAAGTGATTAAGCCTTGCTAATTTGCTTGGTTTACTCGGCAGATAGGAAAATATTCTGCCTAGGCACTGTTATGTGGTAAAGAAATGAATTATTGAGGATGAGAACATACTGAGGATGAGTGCTGAAGAAGCAGTGCAAACCAAACTTAGAGTAACTTTTGGTTATGGACAGAAGGGAGTGGGAACAGTCTGGGCAATTCTATGGGATGACTCTGTTCTGGAGAAATTTCCACAAGCACGTATGGGTGGGAAGAACATCCAGGCAGTCTTGTAACCCCTTCAGCTCTTTGCAGAATGCAGAAAGAAAAGTACTTTGAATTGGGTCAAAGTACAACATAAAACTGGTCTTAAAGATCCTTTCCAATTCTGACACTATTTGTAGTTAAGTCACATCTTGTTTGCAGAGAATGAAGTTAGTACCAGCCATCTTTTTTTTTATTTTAATCTAAAGATCCCAAGTACCCTTAATATGCACATCTCATCAGCTCATTCACAACCAGCTGTCTTCAGACAACTCCCTCTCTTCTTGTGATAATATTCAAAGTTCTGAAGACCTTTTGAAGTAAAGTCCAAAATCAAAGTTAACAAAATTAACTAGTTTTTATTATTCACATTTTCAAAAGCAGTTGATTTAAAAAAAAAAAAATAAAAATTGGCTGACAAACACATTGATCATTAAAAAAAAAACCACCATACAGATTCTCAGACTTCACCAAGCAGAAATCAGAAGGCTCTATTAGAAGTTCTATGCAATCATAATTAAAGTCAGTACTGTATCCAGCCTTGGCAAGGATATTTGTGTGCATGAGGATAGACTGGTGACTTCATATCATAAATAGTTCTGTAACTCCTTTATTCCCAGTTTCAGTCCACAGGAACTGTGGACTGTTAAAGAAGACCAAAGGAAGACCAAACACTTCTGGAAAGCTATTGTTTGGTGTTAAGTTGAGGTAAAAAGCACTAAGGCAACTTCTTAAAGACAAATGTTTTAACCATTGTTGGAAGCATTATGTGTGATTTTCCTTGAACTCTCCAGAAAGCATTGTTTAGAGAAGAAATGTGTAAATATTTGAGATGAACAAGTTAAATTGAAAAAAATCAGCAACAGACCCATAATGAAAGTCTTGTCCTCTGAAAGAATTTTTGATTAATTATTACTAATGATTAATTATTATGAATAATAATTATTGATAAATACTGAATTTTCAGCTTCAGATGTGCATTTCTGAAACACTGATTTGCTATTTTAGTAATTCCCATTTATGCAGTGTAAAACAGTGGTGAGGCTCTAAAGCTTAATTCATTTGCTTGTTGTTTTCTTACCTGTTAGCAGCCAATTTGTTTGAGATGAACCCTCCTGGAATTTGTGTCACAATGTAACCCCAGAAAAAAGAGCCATGAATGAGTCCTACAGTCTCTGGATCCCAGTTGAATTGGGCTGTCTGTAAAGGAAATGGGACACATGCTGCAAGATAAAGCATAGTCATTGTAAGATAACTATTGCTTAGAAGTCACTCTGTGCTCCAAATCAAGCCTCTTTACTGAGCTGGCTGCTCAGGATTGCTGAGCTTTAAAGCCCCCAGTTAAGGCAAAAGGATGTTCAATTCCCTGTGAGATTACTGCTTTCGCTCTTAGGAGTGGGAAAGGTTTCAGCTGTAAAGTAGTTCATGCTGGACCTTCAACTTTGCCACTTGCCACTGCTTTCCCCTGGTCTCCTTAAACTTGAAGCCTTTGCTTTCAAGACTGCTCAGAGTTATAAGAAGGACCTGATACCTTTCAATGGACATATCCATTTCCCCAAGACTATCAAGGTTGCTTAAGTCATTTGAGTTAATTTGCTTCATGGTCAGATTTGTTCATGGTTTTCCTTGTCAGGGCCCAACTGATCGTCCACTGTCAGCGATAAATGGCATGGAGCAGAAAAAGTTGGGGGCAAGGAGAACATCTAAAGACAAGGCAATCTGAAAATAAAACTAGGCGACACTACCAGTGACTAGTTTATCTTATGTTAGAAGTGATGCCAGGGTAGCCAGTTGTCACTAAAATACCACAGAGAACTAGCAACTGTAGTGATAAGCATTAACATCTCTTTTTTCTATATTACTTTCTGCATGTTAAAAGAAAAACAGGTTGTCACACTCCACTGATTTTTTGCTCACAAAGAGCAAACTGAAAAACAGCTCATTGTTTGACCTACAGCCAGATGGTATTAATTAGCCAGACATGTTTACAGAAGGCTAAAGGGTTTCCCTCCCCAACAATACGCATTTTCATGTGTCCCACTTTCCTGTGCTGAAGCACTTCTGTTTAAACACCAAACTTTATGCTAGCAATTTCCAGTTGAGTTTCTAGGTAGTGTTAATTTCTGAAGGCAAAAACCATGAGATATGGAAGAAGGTTCCTCCTGATCCAGGAGATGCTCATGCCCAAACACTATGAGTTTAGATTTGTGGAAGAAATTTACTCCCATTTTCTGAAATTACCTCTTCTGAGCTTCCCAACGTATGCAGGGACATACTTTCTCTTGCTTAAGTACAGAACCTGCTGGGACTTGTACAGGTCCTGTACTTAAGCAGGACCATGGGGAGCAAGGATTAGACTGAATAAATACAAATTCAGCAGGAAGTCTAAGCATGGCTCCTATGATTGTGAGTCATGGAGACAGGCATTCTTTTGACATTGGAAATTTATGATAGATATTTTCTGCACTCTTCTTTACCAGAAGTTAAAAGATGTAGGAGAAAAGCTGATGAATATTTGCACAGTATTTCATTCAAGAGTCAAGATTCCTATGAATTTGTTAGGCCAAAAACATTCAAAATATAAACAAAAATAAGTCAACAAGTAGAGTAAATGTAGAGATTCAAGTTCATAAAACCCATAAAGAGACACTTGACATCACAGCCAAATACCGAGGGAGGATGGGGAATGCTAAGGTATGGATTGACCTAGCTGGGGTGCATTGATTAAGCTGTGTAGGATCTGCAGTGTACCATATGCCATCCACTGCAAATTTGAAAAAAGCTTGGCACCTAGCTCTACCCAGCAATCAACATTGTCACAAACCTGATGCCTTTTTGCCAGTGACTGCTTTAAGATCATGAAAATTATCCACTGATATGAATGTAGTGGCTGCAGCCCTACATAAAATAATTGATAATTCCTTCTGCAGCAGCATCAGAGCACATTTCCCTGAGAGAGAGTAAGGAGCAAAAGTTTCTGCCACCACAGAAAAATCTGCCTACAAATGACAGATCAGGGCCCTGGGAGACATGCAAACTAATTCAGTTCTCATTTCTGGTACTTATATCCTCTCTATGACATTGCAAATCCTCAGCTCTTGAAGATTTTTATGTGACTTCATCACATAAATAGGAACTAAGTGCCCGCACATCTATGTGAATCAAGACTGATGTGTCTCCCTCATTCTGTTTTTTTAATCTGCATATACACAGGACTTTGTTATGCAGCATTTGGGTGACTTCACAATGGGATCTGCTCAGAGCAGTGCAAGGAAGATTTTCTCACCCGCAGCTCTGGCTTTCCATCGACATAGACAGTGTTGTTGTTGACCATCTCCACGATGGCCACGCCCAGGTTGCACCTGATGCCGAAGGAGATGCAGAAGCCCAGGCCGCTCATGATGGCGATGATGTAGCGCTTGGGCAGGCCGCAGCAGTAGCACTCGCACCGCGCGGGCCGGCGCCCGCTCGCCGCCACCGGCCGCCCCTCCGCCGTCAGCTCCAGGGGCTCCTCCTCCACATTGCTGCCATCGATCTTCCTGCACAGATGAGGGAGGGAAAAATGAAGGTGGCCTGTCGTCTCAGTAAGATTTGCTGAAAGTGGATGGACAGTTCCATGCTCCGGTCACTCCTGTTGTGAGGTGCTTGTCTCCTGGTAGTGAGGTGAGTTAAAGCTGGGAAAGGTTAGCAGACACTACACTTTTCCCTGAATGACTTCTGAAGGCTGCACGTCTGAGCCATCTAGCCAGACAGCCAGCTGCAACAATTTCAGCATGTTCACAACATGAGCATCTAACTGGAGGTCTGTTGTGATAAATTCTATTGATTCTTTGGAAAACTTACATTTAAATTAATCATAATTTCTAACTAGATAAACTAAGCAGACCTGCCAGTATGTTTCAAGAAAAAATACAGATACAACATAAAACATGGTTTCACTCATCCCCAAACTTCCTGGAATTCGTTTTCTCCTGTGAGACAAAAATCAAAGTTGTACAGCAGAGGAGAAACCTCTCTGGCTTCAGATTCCCTTACTAAAGACACAAAAGAGGCAGGCCCAGACTTTCTCTGCCTGGAGGCATTTGAAGTCGTGCATTCCCTCTTCTCTGAAGTACCCTGCCACTACAAGGACTTCATTTGCTCCAAAGTGAACCCCTGCAACTCCTTTTGTGAACGTGTTGCCCTTTGTGCAAAATACTTACTATGAAATGAGATCTGAAGGCAGAGGGGCTTTCTGGGCAGTAAATCCGCCATTCCTCATCAGCAGAGGCTGAAAGGGCTTTGCCTGGGACCAAATTTGGTGTGGCAACTGGAGTGCAGTTAGGAAGAACTAGGAGGGAAGATGCCAGGGATGGGGTCTGAATGGGAGCCAATGACACCCAGTTATATCAGCCTGTGAGAGGCTGGCCATCAGCTAACACAGGACTGCAGCTCCTCAGGCTTTGCATAGCCGATCCAGCCTTTCCTTTTCCTACAGGCAATCTACCTGGGATATTTATATTTTAAAAAATTGCACTTCTATGCAATCTGGAATTACATGATAGGTGCAATTAAAATTCTCTCAGTCTGATTAGGGCTATTAACGTTGTGCTGCAAGACCAGGCAGTCTGTGGTAGGAAAGGTGAGGTAAGAGAGAACTAGACACACCCACCAGACCAGAGCTAAATAATTCCTTTTCTAACATTACCTTTCCAGGTCTATTTTAAAATGCAGATTATGGTTTTTCTGACAGGCTGAAACACTTAAGGACATGGCTAGCTGTGAACACGTTACTAACCCACTGAACACTAACCATGAGCTTAAGGTTAAGCCTTTTCTAAGAGAGGCCTTGATCAGCAGCCTTTCAGTTTTGGCATCGCCCTGAAGCAATGAGCTCAGGATCCAGCTCTTTTTGTGCCTGCCAATGAGTACTGTGAAAATATGCACAGTTAATTAATCTAAAGGAAGCCCAGCTTGCCACATAAAATGATGAGATTATTTCATTCACTCTTTTTTGATAAGAAACAACTTATTTCCCTTCTTCCACACATCTGGCTGAGTCTATTTGAAACCTAATGTATATATTTGATATGCATTTGAAACATCAGTTTTCAGTGTGAAAATCAACTTAAACAAATGCTGACAGACCATACATGAATGGGCTAAATCTGACTGTGTTGGGTTTTTTGGGACAGTGTTGGTTAAATCACTGCTTTTCCTAGTTGCTTTAAGTCTAATGTACTATCCATAATTTAACAGTTAGTACTCTGCACTAGACAGTTTACACATGTTCCACTTAAAAATCTCATCATTTTTACACTCTAGGGCTAACTGGAGCATAATTTACTATATTATTCCTTTTTACATCACAATATAAACTCATTATTTCAGCCATAGTCTTAGCAAAAAGAAAATAATCATGCTACAGTCCCTCAGCTCATGTTTTCAAGAAACACTAGAATCACAGTCTTTTGGGCCAAAAGAGAACTCCTGGGATTATTATATTTAATTCCTTTCTCAAACCAGTGCTCACTGCAAGGTTAGATCCTTAGCTCATTGTCAGACTGGAGCAAAGACTTTCCATTCAAGCAAGGTAACACAGAAAATGTGGTTTTACTCTGGTGTTATTTGGGATGATGGCGATTTTATGGTTCACCTGTAGGGAAACAGTATTTGTTAATGAAATGAGAGTACAGAGACTAATTCAGTCAGGCACTTGAAAAAGAAGGCACCATATATTCTATGCTCTATGTGTTAATAGAGGTAAGTATAAACAGAATGAGATACCAAAATAAAGACCTCAAGAAGTGAAAAACAATTGAATTTTTTAGAACTGTTGTCATTCCCAAAATGTTATTAACAAACCAAAAGAAATAAATTCTCTTCCTCTAACCGAATATAAGATATTGACGGAATTAAATCAATTAACAATTTCCCAAATATTACCAGGGTCTATTTATAAGAGAGACACTAGACTTCAGGGGGTGCATTAATTTGGGCAGCTGGCAAAGATTAGACACTTCATGCAAAGCTAAAACATCTGGATGTTTTCAGTTGGCTGTCAATTCAGATAGTCATGAAAACATCATTCTGCTCCAAATTCAGTGCTAAAATTGGTGACCTAGGACTATAACTGTGGACCAATATTGTCTCTGCAGAGAAATTAATTATTCTGCTATTGTATTTAACTAAGTAAAAGAAACAAGTTGAGGACTGACCCACCACCCCAGATCCACACAGGTTATTTCCTACTCCCAGAAATTAATTTCAATGCCTCTGTACTGGGTTTGTCTTGGAGAAAACTATTTTTCGGTAGCAGTCCAAACACACAGGTATTGGAGTAGTGCAGACATTCACGCAGCCAGTGTCTGCACTGTTTTCTTGGTTTTATTTAATTGAACAGGTACATAATGAAAATATGCCAACTCCATGAAATTATGAGAAATTTATCTTCCAATTGATTCATATATTTTCATAGTGTCAGTTAATATTTTTACTAGTTGTAGACCAATGACTTAGAAGAAAACTGCTTCATGGCCAGTGCTCTCCTCTAATTATCAGCCTCATGCAGGAGATGCAGGCATACATTTTCCTGCACAGGAAATGTTCACTCCTTAGATCTATTTTTCCTTTTTTCAGCAAATGTACAACACTTGGCAAGTAAGGAGAGCTAAGTTATTTGAATCTGCATCCATATTCTGTGCTCAAATGCCATAATAACTTCATGCAAAATTTCTCTTTTTTATTGAATGCCTACTCTAACATATACAGAATTTTGAAAGCATGAAAGAAATTTTAAAAATACCTATCAGAAATAAATAAAATCCCTAGAGCACATATACATTCAGGACTCTGTATTTAAGGGAGTTTTAGCAGAGGAATTAGTTCTTTGTTTAAATGATAAATTGGTGTACTAGAATTTAATTTCATTTTATTAAAAACTTATTGATTCTATAGTAACAAATGTTAATAGGCAAATGTTAATAGGCAAATGTTAATATCTGTTGTGTTAAAATCCATTCTAGAATGGATTTCACCAGATGTGGCAGTCTTTCACAGGCAGCTGGAGCACAATCATACACAATGTTCAAAGATCACACACCTACAAATCCAGTAACTACAATGATCCCTGCATAACTTCAGAAACCTATACAGTAATTATCAAAAAATGTCATTAATCCAAAACCAGATACAATCTCCTAAGATCTTATTAATTCTTCAGGGATTTGTCCAGGTGATAATTTTTCATAATAAATCTTGTGCTTGATGCATTGTTACCAAATCCCAGCACAAATATCCAAACTTTCTCGAGTTACTCAGGGCATGGGACCTCTCTTGCTGGTTTCTGCATGGTATTCCCATGAAACCCACAACAAGGCTCAGACACGGAGGGACTGCATGTGCCAGGCGCTGCACTCCTGGGCTGCAGGGCAGTCTCTCCTCAGCGCAGCGGGGCAGCGCTGCAGGGATGCTTGTTGCTGGGTGCTGCGGTGCAGCGCTGCAGGAGCGCACTGAGCCCTGGCACTAACAGTGCTACAAAAGCACGGCTCGTGCATCAGCTGCGTCTGCACATCCCACGCTGTGTTCACAGCACTGCACGGTCTGTTTTTGCACAACAGGAAAATCTGAGAGGAATAACTCCATGATCCAGCACAGCTAGAGGAGCCTTGTCCAATGAAAGTGTCTATTACCCAGCTCCCAGATGCAGTTTTCAGCAATTTAGGCTAATTCACCAAGGGACATCTATAGCAGTCAGAACTACACCTATCAGGGCTACACTTCATACAGCAGCCATGTGGCATGGTCCATATATCTTTTTACATTAAAAGTGACAATATTGGGCTGTAAACCCTCTTAGACACTTCCCACTTCATCAGGAAGCCCACAGTTGACGTTAGCTGGTCCTGAAATCCTGAAATTCTTGGAACAGGCAGAGCCTAAGACCTTACTTTAGTCTTTGCCATTTTCCTTGACTGCAGTAAGTTCACAGAAGGACCAAACTGTTTGTGTCTGTCAAGAAGATCTGCAATAAATCTTTATTTTCTGAGAAACATAATGATGACAGAGCCACAAGTCTGATATTCATTCACCCAAGCCTTGAATTCTCTAATATTTTTTACTGCCCCACTGTATAAAATTAATCAAGAAACCACTTTTGCATTTTAAAAATTATACAAAGCATTTACAACATTTTCTAAAACATCTTCTAATATCTCCCAAATTAAACAGCTGTCAACAGCCTAAAGAAAGGATGGATCTTGAGTCTCTCAGTTCAGTCCCCTCAGCCTCCCTTTCAGTATCCAGACACCCTAAAGTCACCTCTTGTGAGCAGAGGTGACTGCTCACAGCACCCACCAAATAAGCACACCTGTGAGAAGGCAGTAAGCTGCTTTATGCTGCTTGTGCTTTAGCACTTGAGCTGGACTGTGGATAATTGCTATGGAGCAGCTGCTCTTGCCAAGCATCCGCTTCTGGGTCTGCTCTCTTGTTTGCAAGACAGTGGAAATGTGGCAGGAAGGCATAGACCAGTCATATTTACCAAAGCTAAAACATGTTTTTCTACCCACTTTGGCAGTTTTGACATCAACACACCACAGTCAGTGAAGTCACGCTTGGAGGTCTAATCAAGGATGTGCATTATAATAATTCGTCAAATTGTGACGAAGGCTAGAATAGAAGCGAAATTCTTTGTTGATTTTCACCACATTAAAGACAACTGGATTGGATGAAGAGCAAAGTCAGGGTTGCAGCTTGTTATATGTATATAGGTATATGTACCACCATATAAAAGCACAAGTCCAGGCTTTCATTTGTAGACTAAGAGAACGAAATTCATATTAAAAACATGCATGTTTCATTCACTTATGGAAACTTTCAAATATGAATGCATATTTCCTACAGGACTGCTCAAGTTGCAGCAATTCTGACTGCAGACATAGTAAAAAATATTTATAGTTTGGATTATTTCCTCTGCTGATTGGTACATCTGAGAAAGGCTCTGAGATACCTATGTTTAAAACAGAAAATAATTAAGTTCAACAAACTTTCTTTTATCTCAAGTGATATTTAGATTGATTTGATTCAGGTGCAGTGTTGCTGAAGTTGGCTGCCCCTACTATCAACTGTGTAGGTACTAGCAGATAATCTAAATTCACTAGATACAAACCTTACAGGTATTTAGAAAAACAACCAGCAGAGCCCACAGCAAAGTGAATTTATCGTTAAATAAATTACTTGAATCAATGTTCTAAAAGATAAACAGATTTCCTGGAATTACTGTGAAGTATTGTAAAAGTAAAAAAAAGCAAGACATCAGACTTCATCTGTTACACTGTAAATTAGAAAAAGTTAAGTAGAAACTGTGTAGAATACAAATACTCTGTTCACATGATAAAGAAACTGAATAAATGCGGTATTTATTGAATATGTGTAAATTCTTCTAAATTTTCTTGTTAGCAAAGGCTTGGTTAGATATACCAATAACTGTTTCTTGACTCAAAATAGCATTCCCAATAGAAGGCAAAGGGGTGGATATGAAAGCAAATACAATTCAGTCACTAGAAACACCTTCAGTTAAAATGTTGGCCTGATCCACACAAAGATTTAAAACACAACATCAAGCATGGAAGAAATGCCACTAACCCCTCTGGCTCTCATCTATTGATTACACAAATAAGTGTTGCCAGGAGCCATTACAAACAGAAATAATCTTCTATTTAAGGGAGAAATCTCTTTCCCTTTATGAAACTTGTAATTTCTTACATTAGAATTTAATTTCTCTAAAAATAAGAATCATCAATTTCTTGGTTCATAAAGCCATCAGGTTAAGATGAAAACCTTAAATGTTTTTTTTTCTGCTTTTGATAGCAAACAGCTGCTTCTTCTTATTCTCTCTCTAATTTGCTAGTGTCAGTAAACTCACACATACACATCTCTATTCAATACATTTTCTCTTACTGATTTGGAACAAGTTTTTAAAAACCCCAGACATGTAATTTAGGAACATTAGGTCTAATTTTAAGAGTGGCATCATTGAGAATGTTAATTCTCACTAAATTATTGCTTTTTCTCATGCAAGCTAAACCACAGAATTAGTCACATTTAATTATTTAAAGGTTTTTTAATTAAACAGTTCTTCAAGCTTTTCTTAATATTAGAACATTATTTCATAATTTATTTTCACCTTCCTTGTTTAATATAAATAATCTATGATCTACAGTCATATGCTGTTGTAAGTGCTCCTTTTATATCTTCTGTCTTACAGCAAGCTGTCTCACTCTCTCTACTCTGATATTAATTTTGCAACTCAATAGTCTGTTTTATGTTTATACATTTTTTCTATACTGCATTTGTCTTAATAAATTGAATCAATGGACGTGTCTGGGAATTTTCTGTTGGGTTTTACCTTCTCAGATTCCCCAGCGAGTCACTAATGGTGTTCTTCACCTCTTCTTTTCCTGGGTTAAAAAATCTTTCTTTCAGTGAACCAAGCCCTTTGAAAGGCATTTTGTCTTTCTTCTTCAGTAAATCCCTTATGTTAACGAGTATTCACTTCTGCTGTCATATTTCCCAATGCCAGAGCCGGGAGCCTCCACCAGTCCCTTCCGTGACCTCTGCAGCAACAACCAGTTGCTCAAGAAAGGAGTAGGTAAAAAAAAATAATAAAAAAAAAAATAAAGTCAGATCTCGCAAAGCCAGAAGGGAAAAGCTGTGGAGCGAAGCCCCCCCAGAAGCAGCGAGGGCCCTTGGAGCAGCTCTGGTGCTGGGTCGGTCCCAGCGCAGGGCTGCAGCTGCAGGGCTGCGTCCGGGAGCTGCAGGTGCTGCTCAGGCCAGCGTCCCTGGCAGGACGTGCTGCCTGCTCCGCTGGCAAACCTCAGCGTGCCTCGCTGGGGCTCATCCTCAGCGCATCCCTCCCTCCCTCCCTCCCCTGCCTCTTTCGCACCGAGATCCTGTGCAGGGTGGTGCTATAGTAACAGACACAATACCTGTCCTCGAACCACTCCAGTTCACTAATAAGACCTCATCTATGGCAAGGGCCAGAAGTTGATTAAATATTTACGAGTTCTTTCTGCAGGGAAGGAATTACTGCAAGCTACAGTTCCCATTCACTGTGTACCCCCCGCCCAGGGGAGGCCCTCTGCCCCAACACACTTGCTGGTTTGAACCCAAAGCTGCCTTCCCATGCTTGGTCATTTATTATTGATGTTGCTGGGCCCTTGAGCAGACAAACATGGAGGGGCATTGGTGCTATGCTGTTTGAATAAGCAATGGAAGACCAGTCATAAATTGAATCCATTGCATTTTTGAAAGACAAAGTGGCTCAAAGAGGTGAGCCAGTCTAACTCAGTGTGCCTTCATGACAACAACACTCTTCCTGGTGTGGCAGAAAGGACTTAATGAAAACTCTTGGTGAAATGCAGCCTGCCACTCCATTCCTCATGCCTGCACATTGGTTAGAGTCAAATGAAGAATTTCTCCTTTTGGCAAGGCCTCAGATATTGGATTTGGATTATGGACAGTTAAGAAAAAAAGAAAACAAAAACAAAAAATAAAACAAAACACACACCAAAGAAAACAAAAAAAGCCTAAAGCCACAAACCATTTAATATATTGCCTCTCCTATCAGTCTCTCTCTTTAGGTGAAGGGGAAGGCAGAAACTCTGTAGATTGTCACAAAAACTGAGATCTTTCTGTTTGGCACATTACCTCACTCCTACAAGGAACGTAAAATTAAGAACCTGTCAGTGCCTCATCAGGCCACCAGCACAGTAAGAACTGACTTCCCCTGGAAGTCCCCAGCCAAGAGTTGCCATGTGGAGGGCAGGCAGCTGCCCACCCACCAGCCCCAGCTCCTGTTGTGCCCCAGGCCACCTGGTGTCCCTGAGCCAGTGGCTGTGACTCTGAAACCTCCCCCCTGCGCTACACTTCCTCCTGTCCCTCTCCTTCCAGGCTCAGGGGCCACACTTTCCCCCTAACTTCTGTTCAGAGCTTGGTCTACCCAGACTCTGCAGAACTAGAGAAGAAAAATGAAACCCAGAAAGAGATTCCTCCAGAGAAACAAACCAGATCTGAATTCTTTTAACTTAAAAGCTCTTCATTTAAATTCACATTAAAAACACTTCATGGGTGTTTGAACTGAGTGAGTAGGTCTGAGTGGGATGTAAATCTGGACCAAAGCTGTGCAAGGACTATCCATGCATCACTCCATTCCTCTCCTAGCTCCTTGTAAGGGCCCACAATCTCTGGGTATTAGAATTCTCCATAATACAAACATCAAATGTCTGGATTATCCCAGCTCCACTTTGAGGAAGGCAATTTTGGAAAATACATTTTCTCAGGGTTATGTGAGGCAGGCAAGCAGCTTTCACTGAAATCCTTTATTCCTAGTATGAACCAAGAGGGAAGAAGATAGAGGAAGGAAGCATACTTGGAGCTGAGAGTTTGGCTTTTCTGCAGTCCCTTTTGTTGCAGCACTGGTTAGAGTATCTTTCTCCTTTTTGAATAATTCATGTGACGTAGACAAGTGTTGGCTCAGCACAGCCAACACATTTGTCCCTGCAGAACAGTCCTCCCATAGCAAGCATTTAGAACATGAGCACCTCCAGATCTCAGCACTACCTATCTACATGCCTCTGGCAGGGCTTCTCTGGGCGTGTTTCTCTCTGGGTGTGTTGAACAGCAACTGCTCTCACTGCCAGCTCAAGGACTGACCAGTGACCCTCTCAGCAGCACATCCCACTGCCCTGGGAGCAGCTGCACCTCCTCCCCCATCAGGCTTGCATCTGGCCATCTCCAAACTGAGAAAAAAGGAATTCCTCCTGGTTTCTCACTCCAGACCCCTAATCCTGGTTTACCATGGGGTGTGTGGACAGGCAAAGCAGTGAAGTCACCACAATGGCAAGGCCCAACATGACCAGGTGTGTACATTAAAGCAGCCTCTCCAATTTTCACATTGAAAATGAACCCCAACAGGCCAGCTGTCAGACACCAGGGGCACATATGGGTTTGGGAATATATAAATGTGAAACTACAAAACAAAATGGTCTTCCATGTAAACAAACATGTATTTTCTGGCATTTGAGATAGTATTCTGAATGGTCTTAAGGCAGCTGAACACCTGAAACCATGGGAGAGCCTGTCTCCAAACTGGAAATGGTGCAAACTCCAGTCCAAGGAATTGACTTTGGAAGACTGGAACTCAGGTTGGGAAGTGATGTTCAAAACCCATACCTGACAGCAGCTTTGGGAAATAGGGTTTTATCTTGCCCATCTGTCTAGTCTTCTGCTCCTGGTTTTGATAAAGAAAGCACAGAGCAACCACAAGAAAGGAGTTATGCTTAAAATGTGGTGTTTTGTTCACTTATCCATACATTCTCTAGCTGCACTTAGCACAGTGAAGTCTGTCCTCCATGCATTTGGGGCTGATTCAAGTGGCTCCCTCAGAGATGTATCTTAGCTGGCCCCTGGCAGAGTACGTTCCCCTCAAGGATGCAGAGGTCTCTCATTAGCAATACCACTTGCCTCGCCATTAACAGAATTACACATTTCTCACAGCAGGTTTTCTCTCTCCCTCCTCTTACTCTTGGCAGTCCTTCACTTCCTGCATGCCAGCAGTGCTACAGCAGTAGCCTCTTTTGAATTTCATTGATCCTGTGTCTAAGGTGTAAAAAAGTGTTACTCACTCCTGCTTCTCTGTGGGGAAGCAGCTCGACAGGAGCAGTGCTGCTTCTCTGCTTCCTCCTCCTCAGGCTCACAGAGTAACAAACTGCCTGGATTCCAAAACACTGCTGCAGAGACTGTCAGAGCAACTTGGCAGTGCCCTGCTCCTGCTGGGGCACCATCCACAGGGGCACTACCCAATTCCCAACAAGAATGTGCTGGAGGAGGCCATGGCTTGAGACCTGCGGGACTAATCCCAGCACACATTTTGGAGCATCAGCTGAGGAACTCTTCCTTCCTAAGACCTAACATGATAACCCTTATAGACCAGCTGTCCTTGTTACTATATTTTTCTTTCCTGTTTTAACCTGTGCACTAATTTTTTTTTTTTTCAGAAATTACAGCACATTGTGATTCTCCTTTTGGTATCTCAGACCTCTCTAAAACACAATATATTACATAATTTCATTTTAAGTCTGCTGTTAGCAAGCTGGGGCTAAGTCCAAGACACAGCATTTGCCTGCACTTGTAAGAAAATATTTTGCAAAATTAAAACTATATGGCTCACATAGCTTGTGGATACTACTGAAACTACAGACTCCTATCCCCAGAGACAACTCGTAAGTGTATTAAAACCATATTTTAGACCCAATAAAGACCTAAACCAGCATGCAGACAGCCACTGCTGAGCACTCATACACTGTCACTAACCTCAGATGTTCAAGAGTAAAGTGAGCTGCAAGAAAACTTGAAACTGGTCAAGTGCACATACAGGAGATGTGCCTTCCTAACAAGAGCTGTGCCTTGCAGACACAGGGCTTGATTCAGAGTGGTAGCAAGCTCTTAAGAAAACCAAGCTTGCAAATACCAGAACTAGCAATAAACATAACTTAGCTGGAAGAATACTTTCTACAGGTAAATGCAGAAAAGTAAATGTACACCCCTAGAGTCTGTCTAATTTGTTAGTTATTGCTTTTGTTGAAAAGCCTTGAAATACCATCTTTAGGCTGCTCCTACCGATGATTCCTCAACATAACGGACAGGGTAAAATCTTTGCCACATTTAAAAGAGATTTCTGCTGCTGCTTTCAGTGCAGACTGGATAGCATACACATTTCATGTGCTGATTGTCTTGAAAACAGTCACTTCTCCCAATGCTTGTAAAATATAGAATTTTGATCTCTTTACAAATATTAAATTATCACAGTAATTGAGAGGGAGGCAGTCAAATTTTAAGTCTGCTGAATTAACATAAAGGATGCATCACTTTGTGCTGCGCTCAGCCTTAACAATAATCAAAGGCTGCTGGACTCCTCAGGTGGAAATACACAAAAATAACTTTGTCAATTTTTAATCAGTTTCTTTTCTGTTCAAGGCATGTGATCACATCCTCGCTGCTTGCGAGATGATTTTTAGATCATAATTTGCTCTTGTTATTTGGAGGAACCTTCTTTTGTTAAGCAAGATGTCTTTGCCTTTTTAGCTCTTACCAAGAGCTCAAAGGCTAGAAAATCTAGACTTACTCAACTTCCTCATCACAGTCATTCAATTTAACAAAATAGTAATCTACAACAAAAAACAAACACAGAGAAAACAAACATTCCAATAAGAGTGTTAAGACTAAATTAAATCAAAGCTCAAGCAGCTGTCCATCAGCAGCAGCAGGGTTTAGAGTAAACAATTCATCTTGTCCTTCAGATTTGGAAACCTATGGCTTTATATCTACAATTTTCTGCCATAAATGAAGATAGATTCAAAGACTTCAGAATCCTGATCTCTATTTTATCATATATGAAATCTGAGTGCTTTCCTGCCAGATTAAAATGCTTCATGTTGAGTCAGCCCAAATCAAATTGTCAGATGTTATGTTAATTAAGTACTAATTTCTAACCTTACACTGTAAGAGGGCTCTTAAAACATTTCTATGTGGAAAGATCCTATGTGAAGTATGTCTGTTCTTCCCCAAAAAGAAAATGCGCAGTTTCT